GCATTTCACATGTTCTGCCTTACTCTCAGGAATACCGAACCAGACAAGATTTGCCTTCCTGCGATCTCTGTCTGCCAACTCCCTAGAACTCTCATTTGCAACCTTTGCCGCCAGCTCAATTCCATGCTGCGCTGACAGTGATTGCTGCTGCTTGTCAAAATTGCTATGAATCCCAAGCCCTGCCTCTAATGACCCCATTTTCTCAAATTGGGCTTTAACTTGTGCAAGTTCGTCTTTCAAATAGTCGAAGCGCTTTGTGACATTTTCTTCCATTTCTACTCTGAAAGCTGCCAACATCTGGCCACATTTTTCCTCAATATGCTTATATATATTCTTCACCGTACTCATTGCTGGCCTTTCACAATGCTTGCAAAACCAATGCAGCGTTTCTGCCTTCTGCATGAAGGCGTATTGACAACTCTGCGCAGGACACGCATATTTATTTGTCACATCTTTCACAAATAACCACTTGGGCACCTGCATCGGTGAAATCTTTCAAACAGAAATTACACGTGTCAACCTCACTCATAACCGGTTGCGCCTCGCCTCGCCTCGACCTTTCCCGTCCTCTTGAGACTGATGTGAAGGGGACAACTTAGTTTTTTCTGACGCTTTTTTGGACCTTCCCCCATTCATCCCGCTTTAAGGTACTACGTACCTGTGCAGAAAAAAATAACAGTGTTTGAAAGTAATGACTATCTTTATTCCTTCATCTACATATATAATGCTAAGCAAAACGCCTGAGAATAATTGGCTTCAAGTTCTGAATGTCAGACTTGCATAATTTAGCAAGTGAACAAAGTTTTATTTGAATGTTCAAATTTCGGATGCAAAAACCGAAAGTTTCTTCATTCACTGTGAAACCACGAGCAATGTCGAATGCTAGCTCAGCTGTGAGACTTATCTGAACGTTCAACGACGATAACGGCTAAGTTCTAACCAACAGTTAGAATAGAATAGATTGTTGACGCAATGATCCAAGCATGTCTGGTGGACACAACGGACCTCCAAAAAAAACTTAGGACTTAGGAGAGGACTTAGGACTTAGGAGAGTCATCGAGATGTTCAAAAGAGAAAGTTCAGTTCAAAGAATCACCTTAAAAAAGCATGAAATGCATTTATCACACTAGTGTTCATCTCTCGAGTAACTATGAAGTTTACACAAGTACACATTCGTAGATTGTTGGGTGAGGAATGCTGTTCAAGGCTCCAGTAGGGAGCACAGCCGTGCACCACCAATTTTGTGCACCAACAAGCCCTGAATCGAACGCCTTGGATCATTCCGGACATCCATTAATCAGCCTGGAACCACTCGGCTTTGTCTTCCTCCGGCCTCGCATAGAACCTGCCGTGCACCACCAGGCCGCGGATCAAATCTGACTTCCGGGTATCGTCAAATTACGTAATTTTACGTTCACCGCATCTGAGGTTAGGTTTCAGGTAGCATAGTTCTGATCCAAAATTGGTTCGAAATTGGTTCGACCCACGGCCTAGATACGGACGGCTTGAAGTGTTGAAGGCTACGTTCCGGAAGGCAGGAATCATGATGGTCCATTACATCCAGGGCAGTGGTGGTCTTCGACTGGCTACCCCTCCAGTCTAGAGTAGCAAGCGGACTAAGCAGGTCGAGCGGTCGGAAGCACAACCTTCCACAATGACTTCCTGAACATCAACGACGTATCTACATTCTACATCATTGTATCTATCATACAGAGTAAGACAGTTCTGATCTTGTCTGATTCGCAGTTCACATTTTTACCTCACGACTCACGAACAGCACTTCAGTTGATTTCTTCTACTTATGGTGGCTCTTATAGTTGGATTGTCTTTCAAATATGAAAATTAATGCAAATCAAGGGGGTCAATACAATAGAGTGGTGATGTGCTTGCTATATTTGTGGTCACAGCCAGATTCCTGGTAAGAAAATGGCTGACAGAATTGCAAACCTTTACACTCCAATGATTGTTCTGCAAGACCCACTTTGTGCTTTGAGGAGTGGCTACAATTGTTGAAATCCAAATTTTTGTAACTCTGGAGGTCTGGGCATCTAGATGGTCACAAGAACTAGAAGTGCAGGCCTCAGGAAGTCAGGATAGGAAGCCTTCAGGGCTTCAGCCTTCAGGCTGGGCCTGTTAGGCTGGGACTTGGGAGCAGCAGTCACAGTGGATTACGACATAATATAGTCAGATGGGGTAAGACAGGACCGAAATCACTAATAGGCCTGTAGCATCTATACCATGAATAACTAAAAAACCCTAAACCTATCACAAGGTGTGGTTATGCAATGGGCTTCTAAGCTACAACTCAGACGTTTTGCATCTAACACAGTTTTCTGTACAGATCAAAAAAAGTGAGCTGGTTCCATCTTACCCCACTGGGGTAAGATGGGACCAGGCTGGGGCTAGTCTGGAAAAGTCCTATTTTTGTCTGAAATATTGCGGCTCTAATATCATATAATTTCAGTAGGTATGAAATCTCGCGGCTCGAATGTCATAAATTTTTGTTTGATTAAAAAATCGCGGTTTGCACTTCGCAAACATGTCATTTCATAAAATTTTCAACTTCCGCAATGAAGAAATGGAATCACGGCTGGCAAATCCATAAAACCACGGCTCGAAAAATTCAGTCGCGGCTCGCCAAGTAGATATATTCCATACTAGGGCTGGGGTAAGACAGGACCAACAGGTAATTCTTATGTTACAAGGTTTTTAATAAAAGTACAAATCTGATATTCAATATTATCCATCTAGAAACACATTATTTGATTGATCAACCACTTGTTACTGTTTTGTGTTGCGGGAAGTCAACTCTAATATCAGTCACATTGAAGTTTTTGTCATGAGAAAACTTTGTTGAGCATAGTAAAAGTGGGTTGGCTTTGGTTCATTGTAGAGCACTGCTAAATGCTTCATGTATATTCCATTAGTGTCATTGTCTGAAAATTTATCAAATTGGTAATAAAACCAATGGATAATAACTTAAGTATCAGACATCATGTGTTTTCTTGCTCACTTCATTTGTGGTGCACTTCTTCAAACATAGCTCATGCCCTCTCACAGAGTTGTGATCATAATTATTTTTCATGTTTCACAGTGATTTTTCCCCCAGCCAATCTTGCACATACTCGTTCTGCAGCTCACTAATGGGAAGAGACATCCCAATTTTCTATATCTCTTTGATGCAATTTAAGATAGTGCACTAAATTTATCTAATTAAAAAAGCTAACAAGTTATAATGAAATTTGAGCAAAAGATAAAAATTTTGACCAAAATACTCCATGTACTACACAATAATATATTCATTGAAAAACTATTTTTGATAAACTGTAGGGTAATAGAGGACCATTTGTGGGGTAAGACAGGACCATTTGTGGGGTAAGATAGGACCGTTTGTGTGGTAATACAGGATCATTTAGTGGTCCTGTCTTACCCCATGTCCGGTCCTTTTTTACCCCATTTTAGAATATATGTCAAGCAGTGATGGTAGCAGGTAGGAATGCCTAGTATGTCTAAAAAGTTGCCTATTACTTGAGGTTACCTGCCTACAGCCACAAACCTGGCCAAAAAATTTTTTGTCATCAGATAGAGCTTATTTCCCAAACAGGGTTAACTATTTTCTGACCCTTCTTTACATAGGTTTTCTTTAAAAATTAGCCAGAAATTCATTATTTGCAGAAGAGGTTTGAAACAAACACTGAAATGACAGGCAATGATTGCTGTAACATATTCTTTGGTCAAATTGAATTCAGTGCAATTAGAATGCACGCCATGGGCCGGTCCTTTCTTACCCCATGAAGGCTGCGATCCTGTCTTACCCCATTTGACTATACCTAGTCGAGTAAGTCAACATTATGTGGTTTATGGATCTTAACCACTCTGACACTCTCTACAGGCACTACAGCTTACCACAGAATGTGCTGTGACTTGTCTGCAACTTGGCCATGCTATGGTGATTGGTGAAGGCCCAATGGGCTCGTTTCAATTTGTCAGATTCCATAATTCCAGTATGTGCCCTTCATGCAATATGGAGGACAGGACACTATTACTATTAGTGATTTCATCTTGCTGTGTTCACTTTGCAGTTTGCACAAACCAGAGGAGGGAGATTTGATCAAAATTGGAAAATCTTTCACTTAGTTGGAACCTTGCCCATGCATGAGCTTGTGGTGGGGAAATATCCCTCAGAAAATACGCACAGCAGTAATTCAATGGCTTTTTACCTGCTGAGCTCAGTGAGCTGCAGCATGGTGAATGGATATTTAGTACGGTATTACTCTTTTGCTGATTATCCTATTATGTGCCTCCAAGTGTATAAGGAGTGTGTTTCTTCATTGGCAGCTACTGACAAAAGCCATCATCTTGTTTCTCTTCTCTCCATCATCATACTGCAGCCCTGCAGGGTTGCCAATCAGAGTGTACTCGTGTAGTGGCTTTGATTTGTCTTTGCTTGTCTTATGTTGGGGTTTGTTCAAATCTTTTTGACATCAATGACATGGCTTATAGTCTTATACTCCTGTCACATGTGCCTGCTTTTAAGGATTTAAGATTTAATAGAACACTTCCTCTTTGTTTGTGTTTAACATAATAATATTATAGTAGCGGTTTCAGCGTTTATCAGGCCGTAGGCCTGTCACAGATTCTTTACATCACAGAACACTTGCAGCATTTTACGGTCTCGAACTTGCAAATCACTGCTATAATTCTGCTTTGCTTAATCGCCCGGCCTCCTTGCCGATTCTAACCAGAAACTGGTGCACACTGCGCCAGTTTCTGGTTAGAATCGGCCAGTTTCTGGTGGTTAGAATCGGCGCTGCACAGAGCTGGGAACAAACCCATGCCTCTCCGCTCCAATCTTGGTATTCTGAACTTTAACCACTGGACCACCCTGCATGGGGTGGTCCAGTGGTTGAAATTTTTATCCCAACATGATTTTGGTCAGCAGGGATCAACTTATCAGGTATGCATGCCTTCCATATTGCTTGCATGTCTGTGCTGGCAGGGCTTTGTGTGCCTTTTGACAGTGGCAATCACCCAAGAGCCTAGGAGAGTTCATAACTCCATAATAGAATTGATGGTAGCTTATCCCACTTGAACTGATTGTCTAACTTCCTTGCATCTTCCTTGAACCTTGTGGATATATGAAGAGAAGATAGAAAATAAATTATTTTAATGTAATTAACCATTGATAGGAAAGGGTTTAACAAATGACCAGCTTGTGACTTCATTTCCAACCTTGCACAATTAATAATAATTCATCAGCAAAATGTCAATGGACTTTGAAAATTTTGATGTGCAAGACTGCACTATCATAACCAAAGCTGTGAAGTCGAGAAACGCTGAGAACGTGGAGGTAAGTAAAAAATTGTTTTACCATTTTCAGTGTTATCTTTCATTTCTAGGAAAATGTTTTTTAGATAAAATTTTATGGAATGGAAATTTTCTAATTTAAGTACCGTACAGTAGCCTTCTGAGTGGAAAATATCTACTTTTAATACTGCTTAAAAATTATTTTTAAGCAATATAATATGCTTTTATGCAATTTAAACAGCCAAAAGAGTTTTACAAGGAAATTTGAATTTAAACCAAATAAAACTGTGAATATTGATTAAATGATTATTGATTAGGTAGAAATTTTAGAAATAGGAATTTTGGTTTATATATTAAATATAAATCAGTTGTGTCACTAGCTTGATCCATTAATATCAGCAGACTGATCGAAGAAAAGTTTAGTTTCAGATATTCCATTTTAAAATATGCGTACCTGTTCCCATATTACCCATCTCAAATTTTACTGAGAATTCTACCCAGATTGTTCAGTAAGGCCTTTTAGGTTACAATATTAGCATCTTCCAAGCTTTCAAGTATGCCTTTTCAACCTTGAATTGGCACATATGTGCAGTTTTTGGTCAGATCACAATTAACTGATTCTACCATATAGATTAGCATCCCTGTTCTGCGTTGATTGGTAACCAAGGTTTAATTTTAGAAATGAAGGACCACATAGCTACGAAAGATGCCCCACTACCTGCAGTGTCAACATTGTCTCTACTGTGGGCCTGTAGCACACTGTATAGACAAGAACAACAGAGCAGTGGAGGAAGTTCAAAAATTCTAATTGCCACTTATGTGACATGAACTTTGTTTCTGATTAGAGAATAAATTTGGCTTTGATAAACTTTAAAAATTCAAGTATGTACTGTATTTATCAAAATTAGACAAAAGTATCATTCATGTTATGATGAGTGAGTCATGCAGGGAGCGTACATACTGGTCATGGAAAACCTGGAAAATCATGGAATTTGATTTTTCATTTCCAGGCCTGGAAAGTCAGTGGATTTCATTCCAGGTCATGGAAACTCATGGAACAAGAGTCAAAGACGGCAATGCAACTGCAGTTTCTTGCTCCAAAAGTGTATCAGGGAATAGGGCATTGCAAAAGTCTTCACATATCAGCTGCACTTTGCAGTGCACTTCAAGTTCTCACTTTCAAGACACAAGCACGGAACTTCACGCAGGCTGTAGTCGAAGAGCTACTGAACAAGAGCCCCATCATTTACGGCCTTGGTAGGAACCTGAGATGGCTGGTGCCAAAAGTCTTCATCAAGAAGGACTGTGAGGAAGCCAACAAGACACAGTTGAAGAACTGTCTCACTTTCCTTGTTGCCAAGAGATTCCCTAACACAGATGTGGATGGTGTTGTGTGATAAGTGTAACTTAAGAGATGAATCACAACATTGCAGTTAACTGAACGCACACTTTCAAGAATTTTCAACTTCTGATCAACTGAACACTTTTTGGCATGCCATTCTATCAAAGAGCACCTACAAGAATCCCTGGAATGTAATACAGATGCTCATTCTCCTGTCTCATGGTCAAGCCACGGTTGAAAGAGGGTTTTCATTCAACAAGGAAATCATGACACAACATGAAAGAGCAAATGGTGGTCGCCCTGCATGCTGTGGTTGGTCATGTTGCACATGTTGGTGGCCTGAACAAGATGACCATCACCAGGAAGATGCTGCTTGCAGCTGGCAGTGCCAAAACAGCCTACAATGCTTATTTGGCAGAAGAGAAAGAGCTGGATGCGAAGGCCCAGAAAACCCAGAAGATTGAGGAAGGCTTTGTTGGATGAGCAAGAACTGCTAGATGAACTGAAGAAGAATGAAAGGCGTATGGAGGAGGGCATCAAGGTGCTTGAGCAAGCAGCAAATGATTATGCAGATGCAATGGAGAGAAGCAGGGATTTGAAAATTATTGCAAAGTTCAATGCCATGAGGCGATCTTTGGGAAGAAAGCTAGACACTCTTGAACTGAACATTAAAGAAAAAGTTGATGAAAAAGCTGCCAGTTGAATGTTAGGGTAGTGGTGAAGAGTGTTCTGAACTGAAGGCAACAAGAACTGAACTGAAGAGAAGGCAACACAATTCAACAAGCAGTTCATAAACACCAAACCGCACCAAACCGCACACAATAACAGGATAACAGACAGAAGAATTAAATCTCTAAAGGGCAACCCAATAAATATAACAACAGCCATGACCACACTCGCCATANACTTTGCCCACTCTGTCTGTCCAACACGCACGACACCATTCATCTTTTCTCCTGCCCTGAAATGCCCACATCCCTGTCGGTGGGTGACCTTTGGTCGGACCCTGTAAACGCTGCAGGGCTGCTGGCCCGCTGGGGCGACCGACTTGGCTGGCCCCAGAACTGGGTCTAGGCCCCGCCTCGCGCCACGAAGCGAGGCGGGGAGGGTCAACAACAACAACAACAACAACGACAACAGTGTTCTGAACTGTATTGACATTATCATGTACAATCTTGTGTGCATTACTCAATATACCGTATGTTGTGATGATTTGACACTATTGACTTCATAATAATACTACCAGTGTGAGCTTGATTTTCAGATATGTGTCATTTTTGTTCCTCTGTGTCTGCCTGCTCTATGCATTTACACATTTGCTATTTATCAACTGTAGGATAATAGAATATGCACAGTTAGACTTTGTCATGCTAAACCTGTCATACACGAGTCTTGGAAAATTATATTGTTGGTCATGGAGAGTCATGGAATTTTTTTCTTGTAAATACTAATATGCACTCTGGTCATGTCCTTTCATTTGAACATAATTTCCAATTACAAATCAAATATTCATTAGGAAAACTCTGGGATTAAGCAATTTTTGCAAAACCTTAATAATACTGTAAACTACTGTCAAACAGGGTAATAAGGGACGGTTTTGAACATTTTTCATAAATAACTTCTTACCATGAAGCATCTCATAAACAAGTTTGGCTCATTCTAAAAGACTTTGCAAGTGCTATCATATGGCATCTTGAAAAATTCCATATGCTACGGTATTTGCAATGTGTTAGATGAAAAATAAAAGCATCCTGAATTACCCCTGGGAATGGGTTAATAAGGGACACTAAAAAATAAAACTCGATTTTAAAATGTTTGAAGCATGCAAAGTGTACCCATCCATTACTAATAGTACTCTGAAGTCCTCCTCTTCCTTTGAAGATGAGATAGATGTAGAATAAATGACATTTTATGTGAATTTTTATTATTTTTTCTTTTATTGATATAATATTACCATGTACATACATTTCCATATTATTGATGTGATATTACTATATCCATGGACATGCCTTTGAACATTGACAATGACCTTATCCACTGCAAGCTTCATATCAGCAGCCATATAGCATTTCTGCTGTATCTGTAAGCTTACAGGACGGCTTATAATTTCTCACAATTTTAATTGGGTCAAGTGAATTCACTATAATAAAGAAAGAACATAAAATACATACATGAAACAGAAAGGAATATTTTAGTGACAATCAACATATGTTTTGGAAAAATAAATCATAATTTAGATTAATTAATTTTCATTCTATGTTGCCTGGTGCACAATTCTATCTATGACATTCTATGCACAATTTTGTGATGGCAGATGCAGTAATTTTTCGTTAAGTGAAAATTTTTTTCACTGAGCGAGATAAATGTAATCAAAATTATTTGTTGTTATTTGATTTTTCATTAACTGAAGCCTTTGCTAACCAAGGTTCTATTGTAAATGTAATTTTAGGGGTGTCCCTTATTACCCCAGGAGGGTGTCCCTTATTACCCCGTTTTGCGGAAATGGCCACCATTTCTTCTTGGAATGAGGTATGCAAAATCTGTCAATCACGTTTTTAAGCCAACCCCAGTGAGCAACTTTTATGTAAGTAAAATTTTTCAATACGACAAATATTTTCTCTGCTACAGACCTTAGCAGAGGTACTTTTCTAAAATCTCACTTTTCACACTTTTCTTTAGGGATTTTTTAGAGGTAATAAATGTATGATTTCTAAACTTGCTTTATGCTGCATAGAAAGTAAAAATGTTGAACTTTATGCCACTATTTTTAGTTTTGCAATATTTTGATGTGTTAAGCTGCTACAACATTTCTACAAAATGTTGGAGGACTGTCCCTTATTACCCCGCCCATCCCTTATTACCCCGTTTGACAGTATACCTCAATCTAAAACAAAATGGCAGCCATTTACACAAGACAAGAAATAACAGGACTCCTCAGGGGTAATATGGAACACTCCTAAAAACACATATACAGCAGAACCTTGGGTAACGAATGCTCCGGTGAACACAAAATTTTTAATTACAAAGAAGTTGGATTGAAGTTCCCTTTCTCAGCAAAAAATTGCACTTAACATAAAATTAATGCATTAGAAGTCATCAAAAAATTGGGCATAGAATGTCTTAGTGTTGCCGGGGTACTGTCTCCCGCTGCGGGCAAGGCAAACGCGTCACCTACTTTTTGAGGTTTCTTTGGCAACAACTTGGTAAGAATTGAAGAATGTAAGAGTTACTCTAATTAAAGTAATTATTTAGAATGGGATTGTACATTACAAATCTTTTATTACAAAACTAGGGCAAAAGACCCTGAAGTAAAATAGTTCAGGCTCACAATAAGGATTAAAGCAAGGGCATGAGTACCCACCACTTGCAAAGACCTGTGTAAAGACTGTGTGTAATGAGGTAGGTACCTTGAGAAAGAGGGGAGTGGCATATGTGGAGTAAAAATGATTTCAGAAGAATTCAGTTAAAATATGGATTAAGGAGCATTGGCAGGCAGCAAACAGCCCACTCAAGCCTATTACTGTAAGAAAGTTGAGAAGATAAAATAGTTGCCAAGCAAGTGGTCAGATGCCGCTTAAGGTATAAAGTGCACCGCTGTAGCGGTTTGATCAAATGGGGTTCCACAAAACCTATGGGGATATGAGCCCCCTCTCCCCGAGAGACTATCACACTCAAGATGATTAGACTTAATTTGGGACAAT